TAAAAGAGATAAAAATTTATACCAATATCAGTTTCCATCAACTGGGTATGAAGAATTAAGTCTTAAAACATGTCACGAGTGAAGAATCTTCAAGACCCAAGTCCAATTTCTTGGAGTTGAAACCCTTCGAATCTTCAAGGTGTTAGAACAAAGTCTCCAAAACCCTCTAAAACTTAGACTCTCTAACAAACTGTAAAAAGTTCTAATAATAATAATGATAAGGATTATAAGCTAGAAATTTAAAGAAGTATTTATAGTGTTTGAAAATTTGTGTTGCAGCGGATCACTCGGCGCAGTTAGTCGGGATCGCCGATACACTCAGCGATCCGCCTTTTGGTCGATTTCATCACCTTTTTGATTTAGCCTTCAGCATCTTCGCGCTTTGAGTCATTTGGCGATATTGTATTGCTTCGCGGAACTACTTGGCGACACGCCGACTGCTCCATTTCAGCGCCAACTTAATCTTTCCCTTCAGGGCTCAACACACTGGAACAAAAGCGATCTCCAGGCCGATCGGCGACTCGCCAACTGGGCTCGGCAATCTTCAGGCCTTCATTTCTTCGTTCTTTTCTGTCTGCCTTGTTCCTTCTTGCCTAAGTAGTGTTCCATGCTTTTCCTCAAACTCCAAATACCTGAAACTTAAGGGTTTTTATCAGATATTGAGACAAAATATGCATTTGAGGACACTAATTCTATCAAAATATAGCCCTAAATAAGTCCAATTTGTGGACTCATCATGAGTTGTTAGAACTCTCCCCCATATCGGTGTTCAATACTACTCCCAAAATATAACTTAGCTCATTATGTTTTAAAGAAAACATTTCCTCTTCCTCAACTCTGAGATTATTACTCAAAAGGTTTCTCTAAAAAGAGATAGTACTCATGAACTCTTTTTGAAAATCGGTGTTTCCTCTTTTTTTAAATGGAAAAAACATTTCTTTAGGGAATACTTAGTTCCCATATATCAATTTAAAGAAAATGAACTCAACTCTACTCTTCCTCAAAAACAAATGCTCAAGCATTAAAACAACTTTAAAATATTTGTAAAAGACTTCTTAAAATGACTCGAAGAACTCTCAAGACTTGACTCTTAACTCTTTCCTTGAATTTGAATTATGAATTCAAGATTTCTGATTCATGTTATGAATGATCTCTAGATTTTTAGATGTAGTTTAGAGTAGTTAGAATCCATAGGAAGTGAAGGTACACTATAAGAGAACTTAGAAGGGTCAAACAACGGAAAAAGGATGGAACCAGACAACACTAGCGCACTACTGGAGTGAGGCGCCAGCACCTAAAATTGATAGACCCCATCCTGGTGCGCCGCGCCAGACCTGCTGGCACATCTTGAGAGCGCCGCGCCAGACCTACTGGCACATCTTGAGCGCGCCGCGCCACCTCTTCCCCAGATCAATCCGACGAATTTTTCTTTTTGTTTTTAGACCCTAAGTCATCTAGAATTGATTTCCTTTCTCAAATTCCCCTTAGATTCAATTACCCAATATAGGTACAAGAAAATCCACTCAAAAACAACCCTCAAACACATACATCTATCTCAAGAACTCATCAAACCCATCCTGATTCAAGAACGAAAGCAACACTTCAAGAACACACATCAAGAACTGAAATATTTCAATCTTTGTGGACGAATTCGAATTTGTAAACCATGATTGGCATGTGGGTGAAAAAATCCAAAACTATGAAAACTTACATACCTCGATTTGGTTAAATAAATCCTCGATTCGCAAGAAACCTCGATCGTTTTTCCTTTACCTCTTTTTTCCTGTTTTCTCTTCTCTTTTTAAAGACTAAGCGTAATTTAGAATTTGTAAAACTGACCCAAATCAGATTTGACCCCAAAATATTACTAAAAACATTTTAATCTGATTGGGTAATGAAAAGACTAAAATACCCCAAACATTTTTAGGTAAATTTCTTTAATTCAACATCCTGACTTCAAACCGGTATAGCTCCCTCATATGAGCTCGAAAATTAGCAAAATCGGTGGCATTGGAAGAAGGATTCCAAGACCTTTCATTTGATATCTTATGGGCCACCAAACTAATCATGTACCAAAAGTTATGGTCATTCAAAGTTGACTAAAAACTTACACCTTAAGAACAACTTGTCAAAATTTCAGATTTGGCTCTTTCCAAATTAATTCTTTCTAAATTTAGCTCTTTCTAAGGAGGGATGTTACGATAATGTTACCACTGGTTGTTTCTTGCTGCACCAAGAAACCATAGCTGAACCAGTACTGAAACAATATCCTAAAGTTGAATTTCATCATTTGTATCTCCAGCCAAATCTGCATTAATATATCCATTTAACATGAATTTCTCATGTCTTCTGTACATAAAACCATAATCTAGTGAGCCCTTCACATAACGAAGAATTCACCTTGTTGCATCTAGATTTGAGATTTTTAGACACTGCATGAACTGAGTAACCATTCCAAAAGAATAAGCAATCTCCAGTGATTAACATTTAGAAGACACTTTATCCAGTTCTAAGCGTCAATGATCGCTAGTCAGTAAACAACCCAACTAAATGAGTTGGGGTTGATCCCACAAAGAGTAGCTTTTCCTTCGAATTCAATTATAGAAGTATGATAACAATCTCTTCAACTGAACACTTACTGCACCTTTTTGGTTTAAACTCCGAATTTCAGATTATAATTATCATTCTGATTCAACACTTGACAGGAAATGATCTAATAATGAGGTAAAACTTGGGGAATTGACCAACCAATTATTGAATTCACTTTAGTGGATGAACATTGATGCTCACATTGGGATAAATTGTCGTGGGTAGGTAGGACTATATGTAAAGCAATTTTCTCTCGAACAATTACCTTATATTTGTTGAATTCTTTCGAACTTCAACACTAGATGGAAGATGCCCAGCCCTTGTCCTCATCAAATCGACTCTCTCAAGCTAGATACAAATGATAGGTTCCATGTTTCACTTTCCCAAGCTGAAATCATGGCGACCCACTACTAAGGATGCTGAACTTGCTACTTTGGCTTTGCACTTCTCTCTCGAGCAAGCACAAAACGCTGAACTAGTTACACTAATCACGCAAGACGACCTCAAAACGCAACAGCAAATCAGACCTACTTCAAATTAGCGCCATTTTTCACAAATCAAAGACATCCACTTAGTATAACTCAACAACTGGTCACATAGTCAAAACCCCAAGAAGAGGGTTTTAGCCAATCATAGCAAAAAGATGACAATTAACATCTACCATGTTTTCTATAGCTAGGTAGAAACAAAAATTGACAATTAAAATCAACTACAATCTTCTCTCTTGCAAAATTTCAATGAAAGACCTTGCTAAAATCACTTAAGATCCACAATGGTAGTGTTTTCACTCTCCAACTTGCGTTCCTCCATTTTCTGCATTCTTTCTCTCTCTAGCAAAAATGAATTTAAACAATTCTGATGTGTGACTGTTTAAGACCAATCGGCAAGGTAAGTTGGGCTTTACTGATCGTTCGGTGTCTCGCCGATTGTCCTTCCTCTCACCTTGATTTTTCACTTCTTCTAGGTCCAGCTACTATAATTTTATGCTATCCAGATCGGGATCGCTGGATGATTTCGTGAATTGCCCATTCTCCTTTTATCTCACCCATTAGCATTTTTTGGAATCTCCATCAGCATTTTTGGCAACCTGGTCATCCTTCGCCGAACCGATTGGCAACACGCCGAATGGAACTACTGCTTGCCAAAGTTACACGCAGTTTATATCCAGCATTCTGTAACTTTTGACGGTAGAGTGGTAACTTTGCGATTCGCCGAGTAACATCGGGAATCACCAGGCCTTCATTTCTTCATTCCTTTAGCTCGCTTTGTTCCTTTTTGCACATTAGTGTCCATGCTTTGTTCCTAAATCCAAATACCTAAAAATCAGGTATTTTACATTAGTTATTGGCACCAAATAAGCATTTAAGGACACTAAATCTACCCAAATAAAGGTCTACATGAGTCCAAATCGTGGACTCATCAACACCCCCAACTTAAACCTTTGCTTGTCCTCAAGTAAAACTCAAGTTTAGCAGTTCAAAAAAGATGTCACAAATAGTGCTACACAAGATTCAAGAATGCACACAAAAAGACTCAACTAACTCATGCAAGGATTAATTGTGCACTCAAAGATTCAAGTTGTGACTCACCATTATCAAAGATTCTCAAGTTCACAATAGTTGCTTCAAATGCAAGTTCAAGCTCAACAAAGGTACTCAGATGCCCTCACACAAAGAGTGATTCCATATTCACACACAATAATTCAACAATTTATAGCTCCGAAATCATAATTAATAGTAACACTCACAAAGATAAATACAATGCATGGCTTCACCCATAGGTTTGCCCGTATAATTATATTTATTTCCATACGTGTTCACAAATGGGGCCATGAAATCGACCCCTCATACATCGAATAGTTCTACCTCTAAAATAGGAGTGAGAGGTAATTTGTGTCTTCTAGACACTCTGCCTTGCTGCTGACATATAGAGAATTTCTTTGCAAACTCATGTGCATCCTTGTAGAGTGATGGTGGTGCGAACACCACCATAGTGACCTCCTACTGGAGATGTATGGCAAGCATGGAGAATTTCTACCGCTTCTTCTTCCGGAACACACCTTCTAATGACATGATCAGCAAACTTTCGGAACCAGTATGGTTGGTCCCAAAAGTACTTTTTAAAATCGAACATGAATCTTTTTTGTTGGAAAAAGGTCAACTCATCCGGCATCAGCCCGCACACAATGTAATTTGCAAAATCTACATACCATGGCATATGCTTGAGGGATATTGCAAACACCCGGTCATCGGGGAACAAATCAGCTATGTCAACCTCATGCTCAACATTCCCCCTTGCTTCCAGCCTTGATAAATGATCAGCCACTTGATTTTCGCATCCTTTTCGGTATTTTACCTCGAAATCAAATTCTTGCAATAGTAGTACCCACCTAATCAATCGTGGTTTTGCATCTTTCTCTACCATCAAGTACCGGAGTGTAGCATGATCAGTGTGTACGACTACTTTGGTGCCCAACAAGTATTCCCTGATTTTTTCAAATGCATAGACTACTGCAAGCAACTCTTGTTCGGTGACTGTATAATTTTGCTGGGCACTATTTAGAGTCTTGCTTGCTCAGTAGATTGGGTGAAACAGTTTGTTGCGCTTTTTCCCCAACATAACCCCATGTGCCATACCGCTAGCATCACACATTAGCTCAAAAGATTCGGACCAATTAGGGCTGATGATAATCAGAGTGGATGTTAGTTTCTCTTTCAAACACTGAAATGCAGCCACACAAGCATCATTAAAGTGGAATTTCACTTCCTTCTCTAAGAGTTTGCATAATGGGAGTGCAATCTTTGAGAAATCTTTAATGAACCTTCATAAAATCTTGCATGTCCCAAGAAGCTGCGAACACCCTTTACTGAAATTAGTGGGGGTAATTTCTCAATGACCTCAATTTTCGCCTTGTCAACTTCCAGCCCCTTTTGTCACACTTTATGCCCAAGAACAATACCTTTTTTTTTTACCACAAAGTGACATTTCTCCCAATTCAAAACCAGATTCGTTTCCACGCATCTTTGGAGTACCTGTCCTAAGTGAGTCAAACACTCTTTGAATGTATCCCCAACGACTGAGAAGTCGTCCATGACCACCTTTGTAGAGTCTTCGACCATATCTGCAAAAATAGACATCATACAACGTTGAAATGTTAATGGGGGATTACATAGCCCGAATGACATCCTTTTGAATGCAAATGTTTCATCAGGGCAAGTAAAAGTGGTTTTCTGTTCATCTTCCGGCGCAATAGAGATTTGATTGTAACCGAAGTACCCATCCAAAAAACAATACCACCCTCTTCTGATAATCGGTCAAGCATCTGATCCATAAAAGGCACTGGAAAATGATCTTTCTCGGTCCATGAGTTAAACTTTCGGTAGTCTATGCATACTATCCACCCAGTCACTAGTCTTTTTGGCACAAGTTCTCCTTTTGTACTTGGACTACAGTTATACCCCCTTTTTTCGGTACACATTCCACCAGACTTACCCACTTACTATCTACAATAGGGTAGATTACTTCCGCATCTATCCACTTGATGATCTTCTTTTTTACCACCTCTTGCATTGGATAGTTCAATCTCCATTGATGTTCCACACTAGGTTTACATTCACTATCGAGCCGAATCCTGTGAGTACAAATGCCAGGAGGAATTTCTACTATATCGGTTATTATCCATCCAATAGCTTTTATATTCTTCCGCAGTACTTCAATGAGCAATTTCACCTACTTTTCAAGCAGATTGGTGGCGATAATTACTGGCAAAGTATTATTAGCTCCTAAGAAGGCATATTTGAGATTAGAAGGTAGGGCTTTTAACTCCAGATTTGGTGGTTTTTCTGTCGATGGCTTTGCAGGGGGACTTACTCTATTTTTCAGGTCGATATCCAACTTGATTGGATTCCTTGAATACGCTCCTAATCCTGATAAAACAGCTACCACTTTCTCGTAGCCCTGAACTTTGGATTCATAATAATTGGCAAGTACAGATTCAAGGGGTTCATCCTTTCTCATTAAATGACTCACACTTGCCACTGCCTCATCTATCACATCCTTAGTAGACACCACATGGATATTACTTGGTTGCTTCATGGATTTACAAATATTGAACGACCCCTCATCATTGTTCACGTGGAATTTCAATTTCCCGCTTTCAACATCCACCAATGCTCTTCCGGTAGCTCAGAATGTCCTTCCTAATATAATGGGGATTTCAGCATCGATTTAACCATCTAGAATCATAAAATATGCCGGAAACATGAACCTATCCACTTTTACCAGTATGTCTTAGAGTATCTCCATAGGGTGCTTGATTGATCGATCAGCCATAAGGAGTTTCATTGTGGTTGCCTTTCGTTCACCCAAACCAAGTTGTTTGTATATTGCATTGGGCATCAAGTTGCTGCTTTCTCCTAAATCACACAAGGCTTTAACGAATTGGAGCATGCCAATTGTGCAAGGGATAGTGAATGCCCTAGGATCTTCTCTCTTAGTGATTGAATCATTTGTCATAATTGCACTGCAACTATGGGGCACCTCAATTGTTTCATAGTCCAAACTGCTTTTCTTTGTAACAAATTACTTCACGAATTTGGCATATCCCGGCATTTCCAACAATGTTTCTACCAGAGGAATTTTAATTGATAAGCTCTTGCATACTGACAATTTTTGTTTAACTTCTCATCTTCATTCTTCCTTTACAAACGTTGGGGAAATGGTGGAGGTATCTTGGGTAAAGGGTGCTTGACTTTTGGAACTTGAACTTGTTGCTTTGCTTCCTCATGTGGTTCTTTAGTAAGGCTTTGTCGAATAGGTGAATCTTATTCCTCCACATCTTGGCTCTCTTCATTTTTTTGAGGATCCTCATCTTACATCATATCCCCTATTGCCACCTTACCGCTGCGGGTAACTACAACCAGCTCTCTTTCAATATAGTCCATTGGTGTTTTGGATGTTAATTGAGCTGATAATAGACTCAACTTCCCTTCCAGCATTTTGATGGCATCAACATCGGAATTTAGTTTACTTTCAATGATGAAAAGTCATCTTATCATTTATCCGAGGATTACTTGCACTCCCTTTAGATTTCGGGCTTTCACTCAAGTGACTATGGTCCTCTTCCTGATCATCCTGCTCAGCCCAATCTTGCCAATATTTCCTTGGTTCTTCATCCCTATAATAGTTCCAACCTTGATTCCCACCCCACGGTTGATAGCGTGGGTGGAAACCCTCCTCGTATCTTTTGGAGTTCCAACCTTGATTTTCCCCCGGGCCTGAGTAACCGGAAGAAAAACCATCCTCAACTCGAAATACTCCATGTGTCCCTTTCATGTGCTATTGCAGGATTTCCATTTGAGATAACATCTTCTTGATGTTTTCGTCCCTTTCCCTTTCTTTTTCAATATGTTCTTACGTTAATCAGAAAAATAATGGGGAAACTTGATCATATTTGGTATACCATACTTGGTTTACTTTAGTTATACCATCTAGGAGAAATGAGGCTACTTCAAATGATTGTAACATTATTCCTCCTTGCACCAATTTGTCAGCTATCTCTTTATTAACTGAGTCCAGACTACGGTAAAAGTATTAGAGCAGCAATTCACCTGGCAGCCGTTGGGCACTTACGCAAAGACCTCTTGAACCTTGTCCATGACTCGTGAATTGGTTCACCCTCCTGTTGCTTGAAATTCTGAATATCGTCTCTCAGTTTTATCATTCTTGATGGAGGAAAGAATCTTTCGTGAAATATCATAACCAGCTCCTCCCATGATTTGATGGAATTGCTTGGGCGCTCAACCAACCATTTCATGGCTCCCCCAGTCAATGATAATGGAAATAAGTGACACCATATGGATTCTTGAGATAGAAACCTCAAAATTAACCTCACAGTCAAGAATCACAAAATCTGCCGGAAAGATGAACGACTCCACTTTTACTAGAACATCATAGACTACACCAATGGGCTTTTTAACGGTTCGATCGGCCATAAGTAACCGCATCGTAGTAGGCTTTGGATCCCCAAAACCCAACTTATTAAATATAGAAAATGGCATGAGATTGACGCTAGAACCAAGATCACACAATGCCTTAGCAAAGTGTAACAACCCTATAGTACATGGGATCGTGAAAGCACCAGGGTCTTCCTTCTTCTGAACAAGAGACCTTGTAGGAATAGCGCTACAATGTTGCAATCTATCATCATCTTCAAAACTCACAGCCCTTTTCTTTGTCACCATATCTTTCATAAACTTTGTGTACCCAGGCATTTGCTCCAAAGCTTCTATGAAAGGAACGTTGATGGGAAGTTGCTTCAAAATAGTAATAAACCTGTGGTATTTACCATCTTCAGTCTTCTTCGCTAACCTCTATGGAAAAGGTGGTGGAGGTCTCGGTATGGGGACCACTTTCTGAGATATCTCCGTTTCTTTCTCTGTCGCATTCTGAGACTCTTCTCTAACTTCTACCACATCAACTTCTTTTCTAATCTCACCATCCACCATTAACGGCATAGGTGGATCTATGGTTTGCTTACCCTTTCGAGTAGTAACTGCCATACAATGACCATCATTCTTTGGATTTTGGATGGTGTTGCTAGGAAGAGTGTCAGGTTGATGTGGGTTCACTATAGTAGACAACTGAGTCATCTGCTGCTCTATATGCTTTATTGACACTGCATGGGCATCAACCTTTTGACCAATACCAGATAAGTCGTTTCTCATCTCCTTCACATTCTCATCAGTTGCATCAAACCTTCTTATCATCTTCTACGTCATATCTTCAATACGCGCCATATTGCCTCCAACTTCCCTAGTACCAGATTCCCAATTTTGAGGGGGAACATAAGGTCCAACCTGATCATTTCTATTTCCATAGTTGTTCCGATTGTAGTTCTTGTCGCGATGGAAGTTCCTCTCCCGGACATATTGACCCTCTCGGTTGTAATTGCCATAGTTCCGACCTTGGTTTCCTTGACCTCGGTGCCAATTTTCCGTGTTGGATCCTTGGGCGCTTGGTCGGAAACCCCCCGTCTGATCATTCACCGCATAAGTTCCTCTTCATGGTAACACCTTCAACTGGTGGTGGAGTTCTAGTGAAGTAGTTCACAAGATTTACCTTTTCCTCACCTCTGCTAACATGCTTTAATACCATCCCTAACTAGGTCCTCATCTGAGCCATCTCCTCACGAATCTCATCCGCAGATTGGTTGTTTGTAGCATGAATGGTAAATGTGTTTCTCCCAGTATCCGACCTCCTAGTGCTCCATGCTTTATTGTAACAAGAGATCTTCTCCAATTTTTCTACAATTTGTGCGTATGTTCACTCATCATGTGAACCTCCAGCAATAGTATCAAGCACTGATTTATTATTGTCATCCTGACCTTGATAGAAATATTCCTTCAGTGACTCATCATCAATGGCGCTTGGTCGGAAACCCCCCGTCTGATCATTCACCGCATAAGTTCCTCTTCATGGTAACACCTTCAACTGGTGGTGGAGTTCTAGTTAAGTAATTTACAGCATTTACCTTTTCTGCTCCTCCGCTCACATGCTTCAATACCAATCCCAACTCTGTCCTTATCTGGGCCATCTCCTCACGAATGTCATCTGCAGAATTGACAGTGGTATTATGAACGGCAAATGTGTTCCTCCCAGTATCTGACCTCCTAGTGCTCCATGCTTTATTGTTGCAAGAGATCCTCTCCAATTTTTCAGAAATCTGTGCATATGTACAATCACCATATGAACCTCCGGCAATAGTGTCAAGTACTGCTTTATTGTTATCATCCTGTCCTCGATAGAAATATTCCGTCAGTGACTCATCATCAATACGGTGATTTGGGACACTTCTAACAAAGGCACTTTTACGAAGGCACTGAATCTGTCCCAAGAGTTACTCACAGACTCTCCAGGTAATGCCACAAAATTTTGACCTTATCTTTGTGATTGAGCTTCTTGGACACTGGATAATTTCTTGATAAGAACACATCATTTAGTTGGTCCCATGTATAGATTGAGTTATAAGGGAGCTCAATGAACCATAAAGCAGCATCGTCTGTCAGTGATAGAGGGAACACTCGCAATCCGATGACATCCATATCCAAGTATAGTCGACCTATACACATTTTGCAAACCACCCTTAGCTTGGCTATGTGAGCATGTGGGTCCTCCAATGGTGATCCCGAGAATAAGCCCCTCACTGTAAGCATCTGCATCAAGCTACTGGTCACTACAAATGTGTGCCCCGAAGGTAAAGGGGGTAGGACAAGATGTCCATCAGAGTCAACAATATTAACGTTGCCCCTATAGTTAACATGCAGTCGTGGGCCTGGTGGACCCTGCACCCTTAATGCATCTCCCAATTGATTGTCAGCTGGAACCTGATTTTCCCCACCAACTACCCTCGAAGGTTGCAACTCAACTTCATCACCTAGATTGCCTCCGATAGGATTAACTTGAAATCCTTGATTGTTCATTCTTCGCAAAGTTCGGTTCAACTCTGGATCGTAAGGAGTAAGCGGTTCACCCTGGCTCCGTGTACTTGGCATACACTAGAGACAGAACCTGAGAGAGACAAAAACAAAACGAAAAAGTAAAATTAGGAAATATTTGACTAAAGTTCAATAATGTAGTTAAAATAAATCTAAAAGCAAAATTCCCCGGCAGCGGCGCCAAAATTTTATACGCTCAAATTATACCTCCCTAAAGAAGCATAAGCGATCGATATCAAGTACAGAACCCAACTCGTAGGTTGGGGTCGATCCCACGAGGAAAATGGTTTAGACTTAACTTTAACCATAAATTATGTTCATTTAGTCAAATTACTTCCAGAAATAAGTAATTAAAGAGGAGGGGGGGATTTGTGAAATAATTTGTAAGAATTCAATAAGTAATCAGTAAACAAAAGTCAATTTTGATTGTTATCAAGATGAGAGAATTAACTAGGGTATACGTGTTCCCCACACAGTAATTCTAGTAATAGCAATCCTTTCCTAGTGTACTACATGAAAAGTGATAAGTTAGGTATCTCTAAATCCTTAGTCCGGCATCTAGAGAATTTCACCCCACAATTTGGTCCAGCTACGTGTGTA